CTAACATGAACCTTATCGTAACGTGTTTCCAAGAAAAACTATTATTAGGGTTCATTATGGTTCACTTGTAATGTTGGTATATGTCACATATTTGCAAAAAAGAAAAGTTATTCTGACCCTCATTCTGACCCTCTGTCAGAAACACTCTCCTCTCTTAAAGGGCTCATGAAGTAGAGAAAGAAAATGTTCTTGATATTTACACATATGAGAGATTACTCTACAATAAAAACATACTGCAAGCTTCAGAACTCAAAACTAACTCCTCAGTTTAAAATATGAATTATTCTTTTCTAGCCTGCATTTGAAGCATTTGAATCATGATTCTCCTCGACACGCCTCTTAATATGAGTCTTTGTATGTAATCAAGGAAGAGTGTTCTGAACAACTCATGCCTGTCCATCAATCACAAGAGCCATGCTGCTATTGGATAAAGATGCTGAGTAAGACCCTCAAACTCAGACATTGTTCTGTAAGTGAATGTAAAGAAACTGCACCTCCAAAAAGCTTGCCTAGCCTTCCTATTAAAATGTAAAAACCTTTAAAAATATATATACTTAAAATTAAGAAATTGAGGAAGCCAAAGCATTTGCCACGCTGAAATAGACTGTTGCGACTATCTGTTTGCAGTGATTCAATTTCTTCTGCCTCGGGCTCAAACATGTATGGTTGTATCACAGCACTTGCCATTTTGAGTATCTAAACCACAACATGCTGTAAAGGAGGGCATGGATACGGTGCAATGAAGTTAGCCCATCACAGCAGTGGCCGCTATTTCAATCAGGTGTGTTAGGTGAGGGAGACATGCAAAATGTGCAGTGCTCCAGAACAGGTTTGAGAACCCTTGTTATTAATAAACCATCCACTTTCTGATGTTGGGGTCCTTCAGAGGGCTGTGCAGAGATGCAAACATGCTGTTAAAACTGGAAATGTCAAAGTGTACAATCCAAATAGCTTTCCATCTCCATTTGTCCTGTTGTCAGGAGTAGGTCAAGTGTGTCATGTCAAAAATAGAATAGAAAAGACATTGCTGCTTTACTGAACCACCTCAAAAAGAAAGAAGTAAAGTGGGAGTGGACCCCAGCTATCATCCACAGACAAACTTAACAGACAGAATCAACTGTACTGTGAAAACAATGGGCCTGATTCATGAAACACGAGCAGAACGGATTGTTGTGGAAATCGTTCGTAAAGCCGTTCTGATGTAAACTTCTAAATTCATGGTAGTTGGTACGAAAGAAATGTACACCTGCTCCTCACCATGTGTGAATGGTGCGTAAAATGCTCTGTGTTCTTTTTGGCAAACTGATGACATTGAATTTTGATGCACTACCATAATAATATTTCACAAGTTTTTTTTTGTAACTGAACAACAATGGAGATGTTAATACTGGTTACTTCATTTTTTTTGTGGCCCCTAACTTATATTCAAAAACCTTGATGTGGTCCTCGGGTCAAAAAGTTTCTCTCACCTGGTTTTAGGGCTGCCACTAACGACTATTTTTATTTCGATTAATCTGTCGACTAATTTATCGATTAATCGATTAATCTAAACAATTAATTCCCCACAAAAAAATCAACAATTTTACTTTAATATTTTATTAAACTATATTTTATTAAACCAAATGAAATCCAAATTTCTATGAAATCCTTTTTTTAAAGCAAAAGTAAAG